AACTTTTCAGCAACAAGCAAAAAACTGTCAAACTTTTAAAACAGCTTTAATTCCAGAACTTGGTCAGTAAAGTCTTGCTTTCAAAAACGTTGCTCAGACCAAAAGTTTATGCATACAAATATTCCGATTTGTGGATGCTAAAGGTTTACCTTCAATTTTTTCCGTCTACCTCTTCTTGGACTTACTGATACATAAACAAGAGTAAAAAGAAGAAATTATCTAAAATATATATATAACAAAATTCCTTCAATACCATTTGATACACAGCTTGGTTCCTTTTCAGTTGCAAATATTCCAATCAAAACATGAAACGCTTGAGCTCGTCTCCTTTTATAACCATAATCTGTCATGCGCTAAATCATTTGCTGTCGAGTCATACTGGCGCATAATTTCATTAATCACTTATCAATACATGAACCTACTTTATCTTCCATTCATCCTATTACATAATAGTAATCACTCCAAATAGATCTCTATTAATATGACTACTGATCTTACTATCTAACAGGGATTAAGCCGCAATGTTATGTAGATGTGTCGAACAAGGGTGACATTTTCATTATTATTTGTAGCCTTATTGTATGTGTACAGTAATATTGTTAGGAATTGGGCATATATTTGGTTCATTAACCGCATATGTGTCATACTTTCTTAATTTTATTTACTTAAGTGGTACCTATATATGACTATTTATATATATCTGAATAAATGTTATTTCACATGTTTCATCCTCTGATATAGTATTTGTATTAAGACCAAATTGTCTATTGTCTTATCAACATATATCTTACATTGTCTTCACTTATTCATCACTATCGGCTATTTTATTCACTATTTTTGTATACTCACCTTCCACTCGCCTCATTTTTTTCAGTGACATATTTATCTTCTATCACATCACAATTAACATACCACACCTCTACACACTATATTACATTACATAATCAAACTACTATAAGTCACACATTACTCTACTACATCTCTACAACAAACACTGCATCTATCACATCTATCACACACACACACACTCACACACACACACACAAACACACACACACACACACACAAATTTTCACCTTCAACAGCTCACTTTACCTTTACTCTCTCTCTTCCTCTAACACTCTACGAAGAAAAGCTATATACAACTGCAATTATCTATGGGCCATGGAACATACAGCTAATTATTACAAACAAAGAACCATTAACATTCCAGCGCAACATGTTAACTGCCGCCGTGGGAGAAATTAATACGTCTCACTTGAAGGCAAACTTGGAGGAACAAAGAAAATGAAAACAAAAATAAAAAAATTGGATTATCAAGACTAATAACAATAGTATCTAGTAATTGTGCTGAAAACACTAGTGTTAGGACCTAATCATTGTCATAATCTTTTTTATAATCAATGATAGTAATATTTATGTTATTACAAGGCTAATTCTAATATTAATCATATAACTAATAACAACAACAATAATAATAATAATGACAATAATAATAATAATATAATAATAATATAATAATAATGTAATAATAATAGTAATAATAATAAATATATCAATAACAAATAATAAAAAAACAACAGTAACACCAACCATCATAATGATGATAATAATAATAATAATAATAATAATAATAATAATAATAATAATAATAATAATAATAATAATAATTAATAATAATAATAAATAATAATAATAATAATAATAATAATAATAAAATAATAATAATAATTAATAATAAATAATAATATAAATAATATTGGTATAATAATTATTATTATATTGCCATATCATTACCATCATCATTATTGTTATCATCATAACTATCATCATTATCATCATTATAAAAAATAATACCAATAATAAAAAAAAAATCATAATGATGAAAAAGCTACAATAGCTAATATCAACAAAACAAAAAACAAAAGTAATAATAACAATAATGAAAATAATAATAATAATAATAATAATAATAAAAACAATAATAATTGTAACAGTAGAAATAATAGTAATTCTACTAATAATAACAGCAATAATAATAATAATAATGACAATAACAATAACAGTAATGATAATATAAATAACGTACAATAAAAAATAACAATAATAGCAATAATAACAAGAAAATATAAACAATATAATATAATATAACAATAACAATAACAATAAAAACAACAATTAATGATGATGATGATGATGATGATGATATGATGATAATGATAATGATGAAATGATAATTAATAATAATAATAATACATAATAAAAACAATAAGATAATAAATAATATAATAATAATAATAATAATAATAATAATAATAATAATAATAACAATAATATCAATAAAAAAAAAATAAAATAACAATAAAAATAACTAATTATAATATAATAGTAATATAATAACAATAAAAAATAATAATAACAATAATAATAATAAACAACAATAATAATAACTATTATTAAATAATGGTAATATGAATATGAAATAATAAATAATATGAATAATAATAATCATAATAAAATAATAATATAATAATAATAATAATAATAATAAAACAATAATGATAACAATAATAATAACAATAATGATAATAATAATAATGATAATACAATAATTAATAATAATAATAATAATAATAATAATAATAATAATAATAATAATAATAATATAATAATAATAACAATAATAATAAATAATAAATAATCAATAGCATTATCATAACAATAATAATAATAATAATGATAACAACATAATGATAATAATAATAATAATTAATAATAATAATAATAACAAAACTAATTAATAATAAAATAACAATAACTAATAATAATAATAATAATAATAATAATAATAAATATAATCAATAATATAATAATATATAATAATAATAAATAAAATAATAATAATCAATAATATAATAATAATTAATAATAATAATAATAAATAATAATAATAATATAATAATAATAATAATAATAATAATAATAATAATAAATGTTCATAATGATAATGATAATAATAATAATAATAATAATAATAATAATAATAATAATAATAATAATAATAATAACAATAATAATAATAATAATGAATGTTTATAATGATAATAAAAATTGTAAGTTAGGGAGTCCAGTTCAAACAGGCATTTAGAAACCAAGCAAAAGCAACAACCAAAATCATTTCTATATTTGTACAGAGCCCATAGATTGCCTACGCACTTTAAGAGCAACAACTGACCCCATAAATGTACCAGAATGACACTCAATGCTTCAAAAATTAATCTCCAAAATTATGATGATAATGGCACCATAAGATATGAAAAGGGTATCCACTGTGACTCACAGGCCCTGCGTAACACAGAGTAGCAAACCTGTAACATCTATATTATAGCACCTTATCAAATAAGGTGCCTGCTTAAGCTATATTCTGTTAGAATATATATATAGTAGAAGCTTATTAGCCTTTGCTTGAGCACAAAACAGAAAAAGTTGCTTGACTATTACAGATTCATATCAAATTTAGGGAAAAGTCCAAGTTTTTGCCAGAATATATATATGGTGGAGGTTTGCTAGCCTTTGTTGGGACATGAAGTGTCAAGGTCGCAGCATTCTCTTGACAATCCACCACTTAAGCGTTTGGCTTCAAATTGTAGGATATTCATAGCGCTTCACAGTAAATTTCAAGTGAACCTTGAGAGAACACAATCAATAAAATTATGAAACTGTCGTAATCACAGAGACACTAATCACAGAGTCTTCTAAACTTTTATGGATACACTTTATATCTTTCATGACAAAATTACTGGTAATTATACTGACAATCTGCATTTTGCTAACACACCACATCTGATGTCTACTGTTCATATATAATACTTTTAGTCTGCAGAAACCAACCATACGGATAATATTAGCCCTGACAGTTGGGAAGGGTATAAAGTAATGTCAAAAATACTATGAAACGAACATAGGAACCCATACTAATAATAATTTATGTACTTTCTTGGGGGCTACATTCTTGAAATCTTCACATAGGGGATTCTATCACAGTTTCACAAGATTTGGTAATTAGACTGGCGTGGCATTAAGTAATTATTGCCGTCTCTGGCATTCTGTCATTGCCAAATGTACACCACCGAGATTTGTTTGTCTTGCACTGAAACAAAGTAGGTTTCTGCTAACTAAAATGATTTGGTCCGGGTCAGTTTACACTTGTAAAATAGAATCCATTGAAAGCTTTTCTGTAGAATTACTGAGTATGATTACTGGTATAGTAATAACAATAATCACAAATATACAAAACATATATATATATATATATATATATATATATATATATATATATATATTATATATATAATATATATATATATAGGCTACACACATGCACATAAGTACGTACGCAAACATACTCACATGCACACACACACACACACAAATGCACCCAACACATATACACACGCACATGTACACAAGCACGCACGCACAGCACCACGCACATACGCACACACACACAAGCGCGCACACACACACACACACACACACACACAACCACACACACACACACACAACACACACACACATACACACACATACACACACAAACACATACACAACACATACCACAAACAATACTACACAAACACATACATACACAAACACATACACACACACACAAACACAAACATATATATAGGGTACGTACATGGGTAGTACATGGAGCTACACATCATACAAGTTTTCACAAAATACACATTTCCATGAGAATAAAACCCTACTAGACATCCAAGTATAGAGGCCTGGAATCCCTATGTCCGGATACGAATACTAATCAAACACGGAAGAGCAAATTAAATAGAACAGATCTCGTCAACAGGAACCTTGAAAATACTTTTATTGCTCTACGGAAATTCTTAATTCCTTCTTCGTTCAAATCCACCTTTCCTAGGTCACCACTGTGGTCAGAGTTTAAGCAACTTGATTTCTAAATATACTGTCATACTCAC